TCCTCAGCGCTGGTCATTCATTTGTCACCGTCGACGTGAAGAAGACAAACGTCGGGTTAGTTTATACTTGTAACTCTACCGTATGTACATGAGGTTGGTGATTTGTGTTCGTTGATGTCGCATGAATTTTGCTATTGTCATGATATTATTATATGAAGCGATGGTCATTTGCACATAGTTCTTAATAAGGTTTAAATTTACACATTCTGAAATCTTATTTCAATATTTTCATATGTACAGTATGTTTGACAAGGTTGAACTAATCATTCACCATGGAGGAAATTTCAAGTCTGTTCCTGAGATAATGTATGTAGGTGGTGCAGTTGATGTCTTAGCAATTGACCCAGATTAGTTGTTCCTGAAAGTTGTCAAAGAAGGACATAGCTGCAATCTGAGATATAGGCTGAGAATAGTGTGCACCAAATGGGTAGCTGACATGTATGAGGAGAAAGTGGCTGAGAATCCATCAATGGGTGCAATGGAATTGAAAAATCTGATCAAGGCAGAGTACAAAATCACTGTGTCTGAAAGCATGGCCTGCAAAGCTTTGAAAGCTATTGAAGAGGAAAACCAAACTGCTTTCAAGGACCAATTCAAAAAGATCAGGAACTATGCAGAGGAATGTCTTCAGTCAATACCTAATAGTACAGTTGTCATCAAAACTGTGAGAGTTGTCCCGGAACAACCAAGTGTATTCCAACGCATTTATGTCTGCTTTGGACCAGTGAAGAAGGGTTTTATAGAAGGGTGTAGGAAGAGCATTGGTGTAGATGGATGTTTTTTAAAAGGACAAATGAAGGGAGAGATATTGAGTGATGTAGGTAGAGATGCAAATTACCAAATGTATCCAATCGCATGGGTTGTGGTTGAGATAGAAAATACCTCATCTTGGACTTGGTTCTTGGAGTTGCTGCATAATGACTTGGATGTTACTGCCCTAGATGAGTGGACCTTCATCAGTGATCAACAGAAGGTTAAGTATCTTCATAAGTGCTTACATGTTGTTCATTAATGTATATGACATGAACTTTCATCCTCTATATGTTCCGCATAAGTGGTTAATATGTTTTTTTGTAGGGCCTGGCTAATGCAATTACCAGAGTCTTCCCTAACTCTGAGCATAGGAACTGTGCACGCCATATTCATGGTAATTGGAGTAAAGCACATCGAGGGATGAATCTGAAGAAGTTGTTTTGGCAGTGTGCCAAGTCAACATGTGAACCTCAGTTGGAAGCTAATTTAGCTGAGCTGGATAAGGCTAATGCTCAAGCAGGTATTGACTTACGCAAACACCCATTCAAGTTATGGTGTAAAGCTTTCTTTAGGGATGCAGTGAAGTGTGACACAGTTGAGAACAACCTTTCTGAGGCCTTCAATAGCACACTTCTAAAAGCAAGATCCAAGCCTCTGATCTCAATGCTTGAGGACATTCGTGTTGCAACAATGAAAAGGATAGCCAAGAAGATAAAATATGTTCTGAAGTGGCCAGGTCTGGTTAGACATTAATATGTACTATTGATTATTCTATCTGATTATCAAATCTTATTAAGCATTTTTGTTTTCCAAATCTTATGCAGGTGCATTTGGTCCAATAATAATGAAGAAGCTGAATACTAATATTCTAGCAAGTCAAGGATGGAATGTGGATTTCAATGATGATGATGGATATGAAATCAAGAAAGGAAGAGGGCAATTCAAAGTCAGTCTTAAGAAGAGATCATGTTCTTTTAGAAGGTGGGATCTCAGTGGTATCCCTTGTGCCCATGCCATTTGTGCCATCTATGACAAGGGGGGAGGCAGAAGCATACGTTGACCACTGTTACAGTAAGGAGATGTACCAGAAAACTTACTCCTACACATTGCATCCTATCAATGGGGAGCTGTTATGGCCTAGAACCCAGCATGAAGAGATCTTACCTCCTATGCTGAAGAAGATGAGTGGCAGATCCAAAAAGAAGCTTGTAAGGGAACAAAGTGAAGCACGCCCACCAAGTTCTTCACAGCTCTCAAGAAAAGGGCGCATCATGACTTGCTCATTGTGCGGAGGAGAAGGCCACAACAAGAGATCATGTCCTACCAAACATGCTTCTGAAATGACACCAACGCCTACACCTTTTACTACTGCAGGGGCAGGTACAGTGACTCCAAGTGCAAGAGGCAGACGCCCAAGAGGAGGAAGAGGGAAGAGGGGGGCAATACAAGCAGAAGACAATCAGGGTTTGGTGTGTATTTCGATGAAGCTACTGGTGAAACCATTCTGGAAGTAAGTTCACACCTGACTTATATGTTTAAGTCATTTCATTTTTTGGCAATGATGTTTTCTCATTTTGTTGTGTATGTTATATGCAGCCTGGCTAGCCTGGAGAGACAGTGATTGGAGAACAATAGGAGGGATTGCTTTAATGAACATTTATGGAAGTAGTTTTTTGTCATTAGGTGGATGTAATGATGATGTACTATATTGGGATTGCTTTGGTGTATGGATGTAGGGCCGAAGGTGTGGGTTGAGGTTCAAACTACCTTTTTTTGTGATGACCATTGATGGGGTCATTTATTGCATTATTGTAGTTGAACGGGTACTATGCATTATTGGTGAAGAAAGATTGCTTTTGAATTATTTCATGGGTGCACTACATTATTGGCAGTAATATATGTCAGTTCTTGAATTTCATGGCACTACACCTTATTGTCCATACTTGAATGTCAGTTGTATATAAAATAATAGATGACGTTATCTTTCAGGTTTTAAGTGTATATTTTGAAGTTTTAATACTACACATATTCTAAGTGTATACAGGTATATGAAATGCCACACAACATACACAATGAATACATTCCAGGAATCCAGGTTCTTGACAATACAAAAGTACCTAAAATGAAGTCTTGTGGTGAACTTGTTCAAACATAGATACCATATGACACTACATTCCACTTTCTATGACAAGAAATTGGTGGTGAACTTTTTCAAACATAGATACCATTACATCCAACACAATTCAACTATGATAGCCTGAATACATATTTGCTGCAAAGCACAGAAATACAGCCAACCCTATGACAACGAGCTTCCTGCACCTCTTTCTGGCCTAAACCTCATTCTCAAGAACGGTTTTTATACTGGTTACATCTGCTTGAACATGGCTTAAGCGTTGGACAGCATCTTCAACCATGGTCTTTACTTCATAAAACTTGTCTCTCTTCTGCCCAGGCCTGATCATGTCTTCTCTTCCTATGTCATCCTTCCACAAGAAGTGGCCGCACCCTTCTCCCTGTAGACAATACGAACACATATTTTCAATTACACAAACTGGGAAAATGATACCTATTATCACACGAACAGGTTCTTCAAATTCAAAATCACTACCAATACAAGATTTTTTCAAAACATAACCTGCACAGCCTACAGTATTATATATGCACATCAAATGAAAAAAATGTAAATTCTTTCGACGTTTTACCAGCCAACTTTGACACCCATAGAATTGTCTTCCGCTCTCCCTTCCCACGCACATCGGCGCTTTCAATCCACACCAACAGTACACTGTAGGCTCGTAATTTGTAGTGCTTCTTCGCTCTTTTGTACTCGTTGTTGTAGATGAGGAGGCCATTGTTGGTCACGAGGTCAAGCTTTCCAACGGGAAGAAAAACGATGTACAGTGTAAGGTCGGGAAGGAAGGTTAGGGCACGGTGGTGTTAATTGGGGGTGGATAGGGTATGTTAAATGATTTAACTGAGTCTTTTAACTGAGTCAGCACTGAAAGACCGATAGACAAATTCCACGTCAGCGCCAGGAAGGCAAGCAACGGGCAAACCGGGAACCTGACGATGATGTAGCCCTAATTGATTGATTTTGGAGACTTGGCGGATTCAATTGAAGGTTTTCAAAGTACGAGGGCTCAATTGAGGGTTTGCCCATAGTACGAGGGTGTAATTGACAGTTTTCCCATCTAAAAAATATATTAATTTCTGTAGTTTAAGATTTTTTTATCGTGCACACTATTAATCCGGAGTAATAACTTGGAATAAAATTGCACAAATTATAGCGCAAAGAGTAAAATAATAAATAAAAGTGATGGAGTTTGTTCAATTTTATTTTAAGCAACCACTCTGGATTAATAGTGTGTGTGGTAAAAACGGTTCTAAATTGCAAAAATTAGTAATTTTTTTTAGATATGCAATAATGGTACCATATGGCAGACAATAAAAAATTTATTAATTTTGATATATTTTTTGTTACAATCAGCATAAAAATAAAAAACTTATAGCAATTTAACAAATACGAGTAAATGTTTTTAAAAGTGTTAAATTACTTTTTAAATTTTATATATTTAATATTGGTGTCATATGAAAGATAACAAAAACTTGTGAATTTTGATATATGTTTTGTAGCAATCGGATCACAAATAAAAAAGTTATCTCTCTTTTAGAAAACATGATACTACTACTCGATCTCTCTATCCCTCTATAATTGACTCATTTTTACATTTTTTGATGTCCGCCTATTATTATCTCATACCATATTCGGTAACATTTGTGTGACTCTAATTCATTCTTACTTTATTTCTATTTTATCAACTCATTATTAACAACATAATTCTATTTTTTATGCTTATATATATAAGCATAAAAAATAAGGAAAAAAGATGAGGGAAAAAGATGCTACGAGATCACTCCTCCACACGAATACTCGTCCTCCACTTAGCTCTCTCCAAAGTTGCCATCATCCAACACCAGAACAAGCATATCACTTCGAACTCCCCTAATCCACGTCCGTTTGGGTTTTCCTCTCCCTCTCTTCTCTGCCTCTTCTTCACACATCTTGACTCGTCTGACAGGTGAACCAGGGTTTACTAATATTTTGGAAAACACATTTAGTCGAACCATAATTTCGTTAAGGATTTTTTATTTCAGAGAAAACACCATTTCCAGCCTCTGGAGATGAGAAACAGCCATCCATATATATAGGCAATGTAGGGTAATACAAATGCTTAGGACCAACAATCTCTCCCAACCAGAAATGGCAATGGGAAGGGTAGAGGGACCAATTGTTGATCATCCCCATGGTTAATCGATCTTTATTCTTGATTGCCGGACACCCGGCCTGTTCTAATCTAAAACTCTTTCTCATTTCCTGCGATGATTGTCTGAGGAAGGGGAAAGAGTTTCCATTTCTAGTAGATCGAGGAGGTAGAAGAAGAGCACAAGAATTAAAAGGGATCGAGCGAGCAGGAGGAGGGGAACGGATCAGATGGGGGTGCAAAGGGCTGCTGCTGCAAGCAATGCCTATTCATGGTGGTATGCCAGCCATATTAGGACCAAACAGTCCAAGTGGCTTGATCATAGTCTTCATGGTATGTACCTAGCTGTTTTCCATATTTTTATTCTAACCACAACACTCACTCAAAACCTAGATCAGTCTGTATGTAGTTAAGAAGAACAAATATAAATTACAAGAATCCAATTTTTTATTATTATGTTGTTCGTACTACTCCCTATATAATTGTGTTGTTTTTTTGCCCTAGTGGCACATGAATAATAAGACTAATCATTACAAAACTCACTCCCCATATGGGTTCAAAATTCCACGGAATCACTTACATAAATTATTGAAAAAAGCTGTCTATTTTATATATTTTGATGCAGTTTTTGAATAATTTATTTAATTTATTTCTCGATTGAATTTTAAGCTTAAACTTTGCACCTCAATTTTAGGCGGCCGGGCGACGCTCAAATCCCGTAATAACTGATCGAAAGAGAACTCTATATATAGAGGTTTTTCCATAAATATTATCAAAATATAACTAATGGACAAAAAAATTACTCTAATTACTAATCATAGTCACTATAATGATAGAGTTGAACACAATCATGATCATAATTATAGGGTTCGGAAAAAAATAGGGTTCGATTCAAAAAAAAAATGACCCCCTCCGTACAAATTACAAACATCTCCACTTTTGAGCATTTGAGGTGCACTAATGCATGGAGAAGCTTTCTGTCATTCACTTTTGATCATTTACGAACAATATTACATACAGGAAGTCCATTTTTGCAAATAATAAAGGGAAAATGGAAATTAATAATCCAACCTTTTAATGGTCTTCTTACAATAGTCTCACCTTATCGTTATTCATGAATAATCCAACATTTGCACTTCATCTTCATTCGTTGGTCCATGACCGATTGATGACCTGCTATTCCATATTTTTTCATTTTCTTTGCAAATCATTCAACCATAAATCCACCTTTCACAAATCTTCTCCAAGCGGTCCCACATATCATTTTTCTTTTTTCTTCCTAAAACTTTTCCTTTTTTATTTTTATCGTCTTGACTCTTTTATTCTCCTTTTTGGTCTTCTTATTTTTATTTTTATTACTTTTCAATTTTTATTTTTTTCAATGTTAATATATTCCATTTTTAATTCTTTTTCTTCTTCCCGTTTATTATTTCATTTTCGTTTTATATATTTTTTCGTATTAGTTTTCTTATTGAAGCATCTTTTTACTTACACTTGTTTATTTCGTTTTTCTTTTTCTTACCTTTATTCTACCACTAATATATTTGAGAAAATAGCTCTATAATAGGACTAAATTAATCCCTAAATTAATCCCTAAATGCACAAATAGGACTATGTTATTTATTTTCCCAAAATAGACTAAAATACCGTCTATCTTCTTATTCTACATTTCTACTCTTACGATAACTTCATAGGATAATCTTATTTTACATTATAATAAAAACGAAAAATAAAAAAGGTATTTCAATTTATAAAAATGTAGTACCAAAATAAAAATAAAGTTAAAACAATTTTTTAAAAATAAAAAATAAGAAATAGTGATAAAAAATAGGGAAAAGTATGGAGAAGGTACTTGTGGTTGGGCCCGTTTTCAGATAGGGTCATGTGTTTCATTTTTTATCAAAGTAGTTCATGTGTTTGAATTCCGTTATCACAAGAGGGTCACACCGTTAAAAAAGTCTGAAAAAGACCGTTAAAATTAACTCTGATTTTCAAAAGTGTCCGAAAAATTAAAAGAAAAATACAGAAAGGTGCGCCTCGTCAAGATGACCTCCAAACCACCTTCGCCTTTGGATTTTTCAGATCTGTTTGAATTACTTTTTAAAAATGATTTCTCTAATATCACTTTTCCGATGGACTTTTCGGTGACAAGGGTGGCTGAAAACAAAAAAGAAATATGCCCTAGTGGTCGTCTTATTGAGGCGCACCTTACGGTATTTTTCTTTTAATTTTTCGGGCACTTTTGAGAATCGGAGTTACTTTTAACGGTCTTTTTCAGACATTTTTAACGGCGTGACCCTCTTGTGATAACAGAATTCAAACACATGAACCACTTTGATAAAGAATGAAACACATGACCCTATTTGAAAATGAGCTCAACCACAAGTACTTTTTCCGTACTTTTCCCTAAAAAATAATTTAAAGAAAACTTTAAAAGCAAATAAAACCAGATAAAACACATTAAAAATTGTTTTAACTTTCTTTTTATTTTCTTACTATATTTTTATAAATTGAAATACCTTTTGTTATTTATCTTTTTTATTATAATGTAAAATATGATTATCCTATTAAGTTATGGTAAGTGTAGAAATGTAGAATAAAAAGATAGACGGTACTTTAGTCCTATTTTGAAATGATAAATAACATATTCTTATTTGTGCATTTAGAGATTAGTTTAGTCCTATTTTGGGGATATTTCTCAAATACATATTAGTGGTAGAATAAAGGTAAGACAAGGAAAAACAAAATAAATAAGTGTAAGTAAAAAGAAAATAAAGTAAAAGGTTAGTACGGTGAGAAAAAGATCTTTTATACAACAACAACAACATCCAAGCCTTAATCCCAAAAGAATTTGGGGTCGGCTAACGTGAATCGATCTATGATATCGATGCCAAAAAGAGAAGGCGGACAAGAAAAGGAAAAAAAAAGTAAGATAAAATGAATAAAATAAAGATACATAAATATAAGATAACAATAACACAAGAATATAACCAAGATAAAAGAAAAATAAATAAAAGAGCATAAAAAAGCTAGAAGATAAATAGAAGAATATAAAAAGATAAGAAAGATAAATGATAAAAGAAACAAGAGAGGAAAGGTAGACAAGACATCAATCATCCACATGGATGTGCGCCGTCATCCACTTTGCTCTCTCCAAAGTCATATTCTATCCAACCCAAGAAGACGCATATCAGTTCTGATTATTCTAATCCAAGTCTGTTTGGGTCTTCCCCTCCCTATCTTCTCTGACTCTTCTCCCCACCCCTCAAGTCGTCTAACAGGTGCATCACTCGGTCTTCTATGCACATGCCCAAACCACCGCAAACGAGATTCTTGCATCTTATTTTCTATAGGTGCTACTCCCACCTTTTGTCTGATCAAAAGAAAAAGATCTTTTATAAGAAGACTAATTTCAAAAAATATATAAAAACTCCCTTCGTCCCATTTAAAAGTTCCCGTCCACTATTCTCCGGTCAACGTGCATTGTTCTTAATCTTTTAATTTATATATCCCACTTTTATCAAATTTAAATTTTCTTGATCAGACTTTGTAGCGGTTTTAATGTCATTTCCGAATATGTAAATTTTATTTACTAAAAATAATTCTACTAATGACAGGATCAGCTAACTTTATGGTCAGTCAAATATCGTAAACCGTGTGGGAACGTTTAAATGGTACGGAGGGAGTATGAAAATGAAATAATAAACGAGAAGAAGAAAAAGAAGGAAAAATGGAATACATAAACATTGAAAAAAATGGAAAGTAGTAAAATAAGAAAAAGAAGATCAAAAAGGGGAATAAAAGAATCAAGACGTTAAAAATAAAAAGGGAAATTTTTAGGAAGAAAAAAGAAAATTGATACATGGGACCGCTTGGAGAAGATTTGTGTAAGGTGAGATTTATGGTTGAATAATTTGCAAAGAAAATGAAAAAACCTGGAATAGCAGGTCATCAACCAATCACGGACCAACGAATGAAGATGGAGTGTAAATATGGGATTATTCATGAATAACGATAAGGTGAGACTATTGTAAGAAAACCGCTAAAAGGTTGGATTATTAATTTCCATTTTCTCAATAATAAAAACTTTGATTTATTTGTAAAAATGTCACCACATTTTTTCTCCACTTTAATACATTTTTGATATATTTAGAACCATTATATCTTAAATTCAATGCACCAGATCCATTCATACTTTTCATGAGAAGATGACTTTTTATTTGATCTAAAAAAGGGTGCAGTTCCAATGAGAACAATACTTAACAAGAGAACACACATTTATGTAATGTGATGCACAATATGTGTCATTTATTTCAGTTTTATCTTTCCTCAAGCCAAATCAACATTAAATAATTGCAATGGCATTTTAGTAAATGTTATGTTTAAATAAAAAATTCAACTGATGAATCTCATTGTCTATCGATTGGGATAAATGTGAGTTTTATCACATTCTTAAGTTAAAGATTGTTCTCATTTGATCTTGAATATATATGAAAAATTATCACTCACCTCTCTTGAGGTTTCACATATTATCACCTAGACCCATGTACTATTAAAAATATATTTTTACCCCTCCCATCCTTGAATGAGAGTTTAAATAACTCCTAATCATGTTTAGAAATATTATAGGTTTAATCATGGATATTTACTCACTTCCATATCTGATCTGGTAACAAATAAATGTATCCGTATTAAGAATCTTTCCACAAGAAAGTACACTTTATGTTGAAAAAATTAGCTTATGTAGTCTATCTAAAACGTTTAAAAATTTATCCGCATATCTAATCTTGTATTAACAATTTTAAAAATTTAAATGAACATTATTTATAATTATAGTTTAGCTAAACTTTTGGGATGTTATTTTATACCTCAAACAGATGTTGGTGAATGATGTTTATGGGAAATTAAATACTAACTTGAAAGATATCGACTTTGTCCTAAAGATTATTCACCAACATCTGTTTTAGGTATAAATAATATTTCAAAAGTTTAGCTACACTGTAATTCGAAATAACGTTAGTTCATTCAAACTTTAAATATATTTTGAAAAAATTGATTGTAATAATCCCAACTATTGGCGCTCCGCTCATAATAATCCCAACTATCGATTATTTCAGAATAATCCCAACTTTAGGGCCCTTCCGCCAATAATGGTCCGAGGTGACCGATTATAAATAAATTCATATAGTTTCTAAAGAGATATAGTTGGTAATCCCTATCAATAATCCCGAATTTCAATTTTACGCTTAATTTCTATTAAAAATCACTTGTTAGAGCATGTAATATGCGGTCATGGACCATTATTGGCGGACGGTCCATATAGTTGGGATTATACAATAATAATCAATAGTTGGGATTATTGTTAGCGGATCGGTAATAATAGGGATTATTATTTTCAATTTTTCCAAATATTTTTGTATTATATCTAAAATATATTAGTGGATACTTTTAAGAAAATTGCTGAAGCTAATAATCTTTTTTCATGTGAGAAAAAAACTCTACCATGAGATGTATATTCCACCAATATTTCTACAATCTAATGAATATTTTTGAACTTTTAAAAATAATAGAGATTTACTGTTTTATGCTCATATTTTTTTATTGTGTTCGCTATTAGTCCTATAAATTTACTCTCATATAGATGTAGTTCTATATATATATATATATATATATATATATATATATATATATATATATATATATATATATATAACTAATAAATAAGTCTATTTAAGGACTGTTTCATCGGAAAACACATTCTGGCAAAAAACATACAAAGTACTAGAAAAGACGCCGTCAAATTTTTCGTCACAAAGTGTACGTTTTGGTGAAATTTACGTGTTACCGTATAAAATCTACAAGTGAGTAAATTTATACTCCCTCCGTCCCTGAAAATACTCTGAAAAATAACGGTTTACTAGCACTATGAAAAACATCCTGAAAGGGTAATCTCTGTGATTTACCCAATCTACACGAAGAACAATCATGATTAAAAGAAGACAAACTACAAAGTTGACCAGACTTTAAGACCATCTAAGACTCGACTACCACAATGTCCCAAGCGACGATGTCACAGTGGTCCAGGCGCCATGCTAGAAACTAAAGCCAAAGCTGATGAAGAAGAAAAACGAATGGGATAAAGATTGCCGCTACTAGAAGCTCTGAGAAGAGTTGCCCCCGTTGTTTTGTCCTTAAGCAAAACATAATTTTTGTCAAAAATAACCATGCAATTATTGTCAGAACATAATTTTTGGATGGATAATAAATTATATTTTATTTAAGGAACGTGATAAAGAGATCTTAAATGGAGAGACCTTGAAAGAGAATTAATAGAAATATCACCAATATTTTTAATGGGTAAACTAGTGTCATTTGCAACAGTAACATTAAGTGGTCCAGAATAAATAGATTTATTAACTAAGTTACCTTCCTGAGCGGTCATATGCGCAGAAGCACCGGAGTCTGGAAATCAGACATCGTCATTAACATCACCCATGGGTGCAGCAAGAGCTGGAGCAGTGGGCTGAGTGAAACGTGAAGGACATGAAACTGCAGAATGACCTGGGGAATAGCAAATTTGATAAACAACTGGCGGTGGAATGGAACCAAACTGTCAATCAACTAAAGGTGAGCCTGCATAGCCATGGTTAGTACCATAAACAAAATAGGGATGCGCGTTTAACGATGAAAATACCGAATTACATAAAACTGAACCTGGGCGTCCGTGAGATGTGGAGGCAGAATAGTGCCCCTGTGGATAGTAGCCGACCGCTGCCTGTTGTCCTGAACGTTGCTGTCCACCGTACCCCTGCTGTCCGTGTCCTGGTGGGCCATACGGCTGCTGTCCGTACCCAGGTGGACCAAACGGTGGTTGGCCGTAACCATGTTGGCCATAATTTCGGCCTCTGCCGCGAGATCCCCGGCCGCGACCCCTCCTGCCGCGATCCCGAGCAAACTGTGCACCACCACGGGCTTCTTGTCTCGAACCAACGTGAGCTTGAGGATGAGGTTGAGTAGCAAACGCCGCAGGTGATGGAGGAGCCGCTTGAGAACGGAGATAGGAGAGGCGGTTCTCCTGCTCAACTAGCTTGGTCCGTAATTTGTCAAAAGTAAGGCCCTCGGGAAAAGTAGTCAAAGTAGTGATAATGGACTCATAATCCGGACCCAAACCTAGTAAAGTTTGCTTAAGAAGATCTTTCATGGAGACATGAGAATTAATCGTGGCCTAGGCATCAACAATTTTCTGGATTTCACGCATGTACTGTTCCATGGATTGATTTTCTTTCTTTTTAGTAGTAGTGAGCAAGCGTTTTAATTCCATAGAACGAGCCATACTGGCTGCCATAAAGCGAGATTCTAGACGTTCCCAGATGGTAGCAGAAGTGCGTAGAGTATGAACCTCAACAAGTATATCACGAGATAAAGTAGCAAACAGCCAAGAACGAACTATCTGATCTAACTTTAACCAATAATAGTACTCATTGTTCACAACTTCTCTACGTAAAGCATCAAAAATAAATTGAGGAGGGGTAGCAATAGTACCATCGAGAAAGCCTAGGAGTCCATGTGATACCAGAAAAGACTCGAACTGAGTACGCCAGGGCAGATAATCTTCGACAACATCTAGCTTTGTAGTAACAATATTGGTGACATTCGGTGTCGAAAACCCCATAGACTGTGCAATTGCTTCAAAAGAATTCTGTTGGGTGACTGTCGTCCTGCCTATTGGCCGAAAAACAGGAGCTGAAGCCAGCCCCTGTGCACCAACGAATGTGGGGCCTCCAAATTGAGTTCGCAAAAGCGGCTGTACATCAGCCTCCAACCGAAGAGGGCGCCGTGCTGTTGCTGGAGAGGACCAATCAAAAGTAGGTGGAATCCATGCCGAATCATGAATATTCGGATGACCGGTCGGCAACGAAGCGGAAAACGAGGGCTACGCCAGGTCGGAGTTGGAGTCGAATGTCAGAGAAGTCGAAGTTGATGCCGGAGAATACGTGTTCGGCATAGTCACTAGATTAGGCGCTGCCACGATGACGGGCGCTGCCATGCCCTGCGGTGCTGCCGTCGTACACGGCGCTGTAGTTGGAGTAGAGGCGGCGGAAGTCGACGCCATGAGAGAGAAGAAAAAAAATTAGGTTATAATTTTGGCTCTTGATACCATGTGAGAATAATGAACAGGCTTAACCAGACTGATAGCCTTGAGAGTATATTTATAGGTAATAAGTGTCCAAGTACAATAAGGAAACTGACTAATAATTAATTTCTAATTATATCACTATTAAATACTTCCAACTTTCCCTTTTCGTTCGTCCCAAAAAGAACTTCCCTTTCCCTTTTTGGCAAAGAATTTGTGGTTCACAGCAATTCTTACACATTTATCTCTCCTCTGCACAACTCTCCACCACACAAAACCCACTTTCTTAATCTGTGTGCCATTTGTACTACGGAAGTAAATTATGGGACGGAGGGAGTATGATTCAATCTATAATTTTGCTAAACATGATTATGAGTTATTAAACTCTCATTAAAGGATATGGAGGGGGGTAAGGCTATATTTTTAATAGTGCAGGGGTCTAAATGATAATGTATGAAACCTCGAGGGAGGTGAGTGATAATTTCCTCTCGCTGTGTGTGTCCGTGTGTCCTTTACAGAGACAAAATGGTCAACCGTGTCATCTCAAAGGAGCTAGGGGGTTAATGAAATGTCAATGCATTCAATCATCACACCATTTCTTGAGTATATATGGAGTTCCTTAAACACAAGACAATTAAATGAATATAGAGCCAAAGTACCTACTATATGCATCATAAATCTAATTGGCTGGCATTTGATGATTTTATGATTCAATTAGGCATGTTTCATAAGGCGTTAAAATGTCCAGCCCATTACATGCACTTCTGCAACACATATCGACAAAAATGAAACAATATATTTAAGTGTCAAACACCCGCTACGCAGGAGACGTAGTTTCTAGTGCACGCGTGGTCGGAACTAATTGGGATCATTCGGGCTATTAATAAGTGAACTTAGGACACACACACACACACACAATGCTCAAGTGAAGTAGTTAACTATAGCACCTGGCCTATGAGAGTGGGTGGGAAGTTTAACACTTTAACTGAGTGAGTACATTTAACTAAAAGTGGTAATGTAGATATGGAGGAGAAGGTGCAATGCATGCTGAAAATGATAGAACAAGAAGGAGATTCATTTGCCAAGAGAGCAGAAATGTATTACAAAAGAAGACCAGAACTCATAAGCTCTGTTGAAGAAGCTTACCGCGCCTTCCGTGCTTTAGCTGAAAGGTATTGTCAAATCACTGCCTTTGATGAAATGCTTGTTTGTAACTTGCAACTTCATAGTCTTTAGACCCTTACAGTTGTTATGTACAAAAATAACAGGCCTTATCTCGATACTGATTAGAAACCTAAACCAATCAAAAACATCACCAAAACGAGCTAAGATTACTGACAAATCTACTTTCTATATTTTAACAGGTATGATAAGCTGTCCAAAGACTTGCATACTGCCAATCACACCATCGCTACTGTCTTCCCCGAACAAATCCAGTTGGTGATGGAAGAAGACGAAGACGACTTCTGTTCCCCGAAACTTTCCAAAAATCCACAAGATTCTCCCAGATTCCCCAAAGGTTAGTTTATATCCATAAAATGCTATGGAAAAGAACAAAAAGGTCATGCAAAGCTTTTATGGTTGCTTGTAACTGCCTGGGAAAATGCAAAACAATTTTTTAACATATAGTGTATTTAACTTTCTAAGATTCCCCAAAAGTATGATTGGATCACGGAAAACTCTAGGGAAAAGGAAAAATTGTCAAGGAATGTTTTTATGGTTTGGTTTAACTACCTTGACAAATGCTAATGAAAAAATAGTAGTCCGTATTAAATTTTAGGAAAAACTATCAAATAAAGCCTCCTAATATAGCTAGATCGGCAACTATGCCCTTGTACTAGAAAAATGCTCAAAATGTCAATTCAGCAGGTGAATGACCTGTTTCCCAGCTAATATGCTTGCATAACCCTTTTTCGCCCTTTCCTTTTTTTTTTCTTTCTCTGCTTTGTTTTCTTCTTTTCTCACTCAGACTTCTCCCTTGCTTCTTTTACCCAGCAGCAGACCTATTAGAAGACTTCTCCCTCATTGCTTTTCTCCCATAGCAGACTTCTCCCCCCCCCCCCCCCCCATCGTTTTTCTCTCTTTTTTCTTTTTCTAACTTTAATTTCGTAGCAAGCTTCTCCACAAAAAGTCTAGGATGACAGCGACTGATAGAACACTGGTGAATCCAACTCAAATTACAGTAGAATCAATCAGAAGATAACAAGAAACAAGATCAATAGGAAGTTTATTGATGAAGAAGAAAAGTATGGAACGTATACAAAGCACAGGACCATTCGAGATGCCCAGTCTCCAAGCCTAGCCAAATTCAACTGAATATTTGCCTACCTATTTTCCTCCCCTCCCCTTCTATTTATACTACTACAAGTATACTTACTATTATTATTATTTCTTATTATTAGCCTACTAAGCCAGATTCCTATCAGCGACTTCCCGTTTTCTTTCTCACCGGCGACGATGACTCCCCTTAGCAGCCTCGAAGATATCACCTCTGACAATGCCCCAATTCATTCTCCATTTTGCAGCGCCTGTTGTTCATCCTCTTGCAACGTTGAATACTGTTCATCTTCCTCTCTAGCGTTGTTCATTTTTGTTCTTCAATAGTTCAGTCCATTACAGAGACTTCATTTATTTAAAGAAAACTAAAATACAATAAATTAAGAGTGTCACGTGCATAACGAAGAAAATTGTGGAGGAAAGGAAAAAAAGAGGGGGAATCTGGATGAAGAGGTAGAATAATTAAAGCTTCCCTGGAAAGAGGAATAAACAGGGACACAAAATTAAGGGGAGAGGAAATTAAAAATGATGAGATGGAAGACAATTAAGCATCAATAACTTGACTCAATGAATTAGTTAGTTATAGCAACGAAGGACAAATAATCTGCAAACTGGAAGATTGCCTCCTAAAGGGAAGAATCGGATCATTTTTCCAAGTTTATGGGGTTGATTGAGTGTTTTTTTGTACGAGAGCGTAATTGCTGATTTAGCTATATTAGAAGGGCTTATTTGATAATTGTTCCTTAACTTTATTTACATATATTAATTATTTAGATCTGTTAGTCTTCTATTTAAGGGACACATAGATAAAGTGAGTACCAACAAAGATTTAAAATATAAATTTATTGAGCTTAACCCCATCTTCATTTTCTCATATATGTTTTCATTCTTACTTTACTTCTCTAGTATTTGCGGGTTTCCAAACAGACTCCAAGAATCTCCAAGAATCTGACAGCCCAAAGTTCGCAAAGGCTCCAAAGAAGCCATTTCAAATCAAGAATCTACCCAATAATGCCCGAGAAGCCGAAACCAAAGACAAATCCCTTGAAGAGATTGAAAATCTCCAGAATGAGATAAGTTCACTCGAAGCCGTAAAAGAGGTTGTGAGGAATTCATACGAACACGGGATTTCAAAATATCAGGAGATTGAGAAACAAATAATGGAAATGCAGGAGAAACTTTCGCATCTGCAAAAGGAATATGTGGTGACAATGGATATCGAGAATGATAAGGCCGGGAACCTAATAACAGATACAACACTAAGATCATGCCAAGAGAGCTTGGCTCAGTTGCAGGAGAAGCAAGATAAATGCTGTAAAGATTCTAAAGAGGAGACCCAAAAGATTGAAGAAGCAGACAAGAAACTGAAATTCCTCAAATCTGAGTCACTTCATGATAATAATGGCCAAATCATGAAATCTGAAGATGTTGACTCCAAGGAAATTCAAACAGTTTCTGAACAAACAACAAAGATTGATGAGCTTGTGAACAAAGTACTTAATCTGGAGATCACAATGGCTTCCCAGATTGCCTTAATCGAAAGAACAAAAAGTGAATCCAATGATCTCCATGTCAAAATAAGAATCTTGGAAGATGAAAAGGCAAATCTCACTACCGATAAACAAAATCTGTACGTCAGAGTTGAAGAACTGGAAGAACAATTGGGGAAGCTTCAGAATCTACACAGAGAAGTTGAGAAACAAAATAGAAGTCTTCAAGCTCAACTGGCAGAAGCCCATTCCTGTTATGATCAGTTGTGTGAGAAATTGAAACCAGATAACCAAACAGTAAAACATGTAACATTTGCAGATGAAAAAGAATTTAACGGTTCAACACAAGAAATACCAGACACAGAAGCACACTTGGAGAAAGATGAGAAATTTAACTGGCAGAAGATGTTGTTGAATGGAGTGGAGGACAGAGAACAAGTTTTACTTAAAGAGTATATCGCAATTCTCAGAAGCTACAAAGATTTAAAGAAGAAATATGACGATAGGGTTGGGGAGTTTGAAATTGCATTGCAGATGAATGATCTGAGAGGTGCGATTGCAAAAAGAGATGCAGAGATACGTTATTTACATCAAAAATTAAATCTTTTAACAGATGAAAAGAAGATAGCTGAACCTGGATATGTTGTTAAAAAGGTCCGAAAATCAAAGAGCAGAACTGGAATTCCTTTAAGGGAAATAATATTTGGAACCAAACCAAAGAAACACAGGACTTCTGTCTTTTCTTGCATCCAAAACCAGAAATAAGAGGCCTTGAAAGCCGGGAGTTCTTCCTAAATCTTCTGTTTTTGTTGTCCTTTCCTTCTTCTTGCTGAAACTTAAACTTTCTCCACTAACCAATATAGTACTCTTCCATTCTCAAGGGAAAGAGCAGTTATGCTCTAATTACAAATTATGGCTTAATAATTAGCAAGATTATCTTTTTATATCTAAAAGCACCACATATGAGAGAGAACTCTCTCACTCAATTGTTAACTTACATATTTACTTATACCTAAAAGCAGTATACATGGGAGAGAAAATTCTCTCTAAATTGTTAGTTGGATTATCATACTTAAAAGAACTACATACGAGAAAGAAAGTTTGTTCGCTCAATCGTTAGCAAGTTTATCTTCTTATCTTCATATATCTGAAATCGCTACATATGAGAGAGAAAATTATCTTGTTCAATTTATCCACTCAATTGTTAGCAAATTTATATTGTAATATGTAGAAGCACTACATGTGAGAGAGAAAATTCTCCCGCTCAATTATTAGGAAGCTTATTTTACGTTACTCAGAACCATCACATATGAGAGATAAAGTTCTCACGCTCAATTGTTAGTCGGCTTATCTTATCTTCTTATCTTATACTTAAAAGCACTACATATGAGAGAGAGTTTTCCCGCTCAATTATTAGCAAATATTTCTAAAAATACATAAAAGCATTACATATGAGAGAGAAAATTTTTCCGCTCAATTGTTAGCAAGCTTATCTTCTGATACATTGAAGCACAACATGCGAGAGAAAAAATTCTCCAACTCAATTATTAGCAAACTTATCTTATACTTAAAAGCACTACATATGAGAGAGAGAGTTTTCCCGCTCAATTATTAGCAAATATTTCTAAAAATACCTAAAAGCATTACATATCTTATACTTAAAAGCACTACATATGAGAGAGAGAGTTTTCCCGCTCAATTATTAGCAAATCTTATACTTAAAAGCACTACATATGAGAGAGAGAGTTTTCCCGCTCAATTATTAGCAAATATTTCTAAAAATGCCTTAAAGCATTACATATGAGAAAGAAATTTTTCCCGCTCAATTGTTAGCAAGTTTATCTTCTGATACATTGAAGCACAACATGTGAGAGAAAAAATTCTCCAGCTCAATTATTAGCAAGCTTATTTTCTTATACATAAACCCACTACATATGAGAGACAAAATTCGTCTGCTCAATTGTTAGCCGACTTATCTTATACTACGTACTTAAAAGAACTACATATGAGAGAGTTTTCTTGCTCAATACCTAAAAACACTACATATGAGAGAAAATTTTCCCGCTCAATTTCTCTGCTCAATTGTTAGCAAGTTATCTTCTCATACCTAGAAACACTATATATTAGAGAGAAATTTTTTCCGCTCAGTTAGTAGTAAGCTTATCTTCTTTTACCAAAAACCACTATATATGGGAGATAAAATTCTCCCGATCAATTGTTAGTCGGTTTATCTTGTAACTAAAAGTACTACATAATTTCAAATGAAAAATGAGCGTATAAGCTTTTTTGTATTACATAAGGGCTAGTTATTATTATTATTATAGTCACTAAATGTTAACAAACTTATCTTTATATAATAATACCTAAAAGCACTACATATGAGAGAGAAAAATTTGTTTTGTGACTTTAGTTTTTAGTTTCGGAGGAAGCAAGCAGGCTAATTTGGCCGATAATAGCTTTGAATCTATCGCATGGTCAATGATTAGCCGTGCTAATTATTGGGTAGTCTATTTTATGTCTAATCAGAGAGTGAGGTTGCCTAACTGCTATAAGGAGTCTAGAAGAAATGTTTGGGTAGCCAGAATATATGATATTTAGTTGTTTGATTTTTGAATTTAATATAAGCATTTTCCAGCAAAAAAATACTATCGTATATTTTATTTTTATACTCCGTATCAAAGTAACTACAAGGAAGAACCTCTCCAATATATAGATATTTGTAAATAAATAAAAAATTAAATTGTCTATGAACTTTTATAGTGACTTTGATATAATTTTAAACATAATTATAGTAACTAAAAATTAATAAGTCATACTTTTAGTCAATGTCCTTATTTTAGTCATATATTGGGAATTACTTCTTTAATTAATAAGGAATAGCCCGTATCGAGGTTGAAAAATTAACAGGTTACTTAATACACTTTCAGATTTTTTTTTAAAATTTTCTATATGCAATATTGTTCTCATATGAAAAATCATAAAAAGTTAGAAATTTTGATATATGTTATGTAGATATTACAACAAAAAATATTTTCTCATAAGTTTAAAAGGTCATAAGAGAAAATATAAGAGATGAAACACTCCCGATCAATTATTAGTTTGTTTATCTTATACCTAAAAGACTACATATGAGAGAGAAATTTTTCCTCTTAATTGTTAGTCTCCATTATCTTATTTTTCTTATATGTAGTACTTAAAAGCGTTACATATGAGATAGAAAATTCTCCCGCTCAATTATCAACACATTTGTCTTCTTATATCTAAAAGCATTATGTATGACAGAGAAAATTCTTCTGCTAAATTATTAATCTGCTTTTCTTCTTATACTTTAAAACACTACATATGAGAGAAGAGATTCTTCAAGTCAATTATTAGTCTACTTATCTTCTAATACCTAAACGCACTACATATGATAGAGAAAGTTCTTCGCTCAATTATTAGTCCGCTTATTTTATACCTAAAAGCACTACATGTGTGAGAGAATATTATTTCGCATAATTATTGATCTGCTTATCATATCTTATTATTTTATAGCACTACATATGTGAGAGAAAATTTTTTCGTATAATTATTGATCCGCTTATCATATTTTCTTATTATACTTAAAAGCAATACATATGTGGGAGAAAATTCTCCTGCATAATTATTGGTCCGCTTATCATATCTTATACCTATGAGACAACAAATTATCCCGATCAATTATTAATATGTTTATCTTATCTTATAACTAAAAGCAATATATATGTAAGAGAAAATGTCTCCGCTCAATTTTAATTAATCCGCTTATCTTATACCTAAAGGCATTACATATGAGGGGCAAAATTCTCCCGCTCAATTATTTTTCCGCTTATCTTCTTATATCTAAACGCACTACATATAAGAGATAATTTTTTTTTTTGCTCATTTATTAGTCAACTTATCTTATACTCCATCAAAAAATACAACATATGAGAGAAAATTCTTGTGTGCAAAAATTAATACGCTTACCTTTATCATAACTAAAAAGTTAGAAATTCTTTTTTTTTGGAACAACTAAAAGAACTACATATGAGAGATAAAATTCTCCCGCTCAATTATTCATTTATCTTCTTATACCTAAAATCACTACGTATGAGAGAGAAAATTTTCTTGCTCATTTATTAGTCTGTTTATGTTATACAAAAAAATATTACATATGAGAGATAAATTTTTCCACTCAATTATTTGTCTTTACTAACCATATTGAAGTTGAAATCTACCTATTTGAAATGTCACATACTAATGTAACGCAACAAAAAAAAATATAATGATGTAAAGATAGAATTACATCATGGTCGGTCTACATTCTCAATTAAAATTTTTGTACATGATTTTGGATAACCAATCATTTGTACTCCAATTGTAAAGTTATGTGTTACAAACAAAGACTATGTAACACTTTAAGAAATATCTATTTTTAAAAGTGACAACTTTTTAATTTGTACTCCAATTGTTACAAAAAAAATATCACAATTCATAAAAATAATTTGTACTTCTATTGTTGCAAAAAAACATATCACAATCCACAAAAATAATTTAGCCCTTTAAAAAACATATGTGTTAGTAACTTTTTAATTTTTACTTCGATTAGTACAAAAAAATATATCAAAAGTGTATCTTTTTTATTATTCCATATGACACCCACCAAAAGCTAATTCTATTTGAAAAGAAAATTTTGATATGCATATGAAATCATTTTAGTGTTCGTAATTTGATGATGAAAAGCCTATTCATTCATTTGAACCGACCAGTATCATGAAAAATTATAGAGTAAAGGTATGTTTTAATAAGACTACTCAATTGTAACTTTTCACACTTCGCCAATAATGTTCTTTAAGATATTGACAGTTTTCAACATTTTTTTTGCTTTCAAGAACACAATGAATCTCTAATGACTCATAAAAAGGGCGGAGCTCGGGCCAGGGTTCGTTTGGGTACTGTCCACTTAGTGGCTACGGACTCTAAGCGAACATATTTGGGTATTGTTCACTCGGTGGCTACGGACTCATATAGGAGCGCACATGTATCAAATATCAAGATTTGGATGTTGTCCACTCGGTGACTACGGACTCGAAATGTTGATCAAATTCTACGGCTATGTTAATTATCCCTATCGGTACGCCAACCTATCCAAATCCAGAAACAAGCTAAGGTTTCAAATTACATTTATTTTTATATTCAAGAAAATTCTTAGTATTTTATTTCAAATTTAATATCATTACAATCGACTTAAAGTATAACTTAACACAAACTACTGTTCTGAGTGAAATTCAATTGTTTATAAAGTAGTATCGTATGTCTAATGAATTCCGAATTTGTAATATAATTGAGTCCATAGGAATTCTGAATTCAGCTTAATGTTTATTATTTATACGGGTATTAGTCCTTAATAGGACTAAAATTAGCCCAAAATTCAACAATAAGAGTACAATCCTTTTATTCTCAAAATAGGACTAATATATGTCATTTCTTCTCATTCTACCCCCTTCCTATAATTTCCAATAGATTTATTTTATTGATAAGAAAATCATAGTTTTATTTATAATAAAAATATAAAAATTAATAAAAAATTTATAAATGAATAATACAAACGTGAAAAAATAAAATTAGAATAAAAAATTTAAACAATATAAATAAAGTATTTCAAAAACTTAAAAAAAGTCTAAAAAATAAAATAAAATACCTAAAAAATACTTAAAAAATATGTAGGTCACTGACAAGTGACAATGCGTCCTCTACCTCCCTGCACTACTAACTCCTATTGTTGCAATTATTTTTTTATTTAGTCCTATTTAGGTAAATCTCCCTTATTTATACCATATACTCCGTATTAATTTCGGATATATTCTATTATATTTGCATTCATGACCATTTCTCCTACTTAGTTCTA